TGCCGCGCCGTAGGTGGGACTCAGGGCCTGATCCTCTTTGGCGCGCCAGCCGCCGCCGGGTCCGGCGGTCTTCTTGTTCAACGGCTCGCCATGGATCTGCCCGCTCTCGGGCGCCTGCAACGGCTTTGCCTTTTGGCCGTGCTGGAAGTCCTCGTCGATGTATTGGCCAATGCCCAGGCCTCCGCCGCCGCCGGCCACCAGCAGCGGCACCGCCTCGTTCTTGGCCTGGTTGAGCAGGAAGACAAAGGAACCGCCGCCTCCACCGCCGGCGCCATTCTCAATGTAAATGTTCTTCACCATGTCCTGCTTGGAGCGGAAGCTGTACTGGCCCAGGTCCAGATCGTGCTCAGCGCCGCAGCCGGCCTCCTTGTGCGTGCCCATGGACTTGATGCAGGCATTCTCGCCCTGTTGGCCAACTAGGAAGTACAGCTCCTCGTTCTTGAGCAGCTCCAGCACTGCGACGGCCACCGCACCACGCGAGCTGCCCACGCCACCCGATCCCAGGCCACCGCTGGCGCCTTTGGCAATGATGCTGCAATGGAAACATTTGGGGTTAGGTGAGTCCGCATTGGGATTTATGTGTAACTTACGTATAGTGCCCCTCGTTGGGCACCTTCCACTTCTGCATGCCCTTGTAGGTGCTCTGATCCTCCACGACGTGCACCTCGCGCAGCACATGGCTTTGGTTCTGCTCTTTGTAGGCGACTTCACATTGCGCTTGTGTCGGTCCTATCATACCTCTCGTATCGCACGTCGTTAATTCTAAATCTGTAAGAGGCAATAAAAGTATAAAACGAGCATTAGATCAGCTAAATTAATAAAGTCAATCACATTTCCAGTCAATTGGCACTGCTGCTTCGATATTATTATATATTATCGCTTTTACACCTACATCATCACCCCCACACCCACCACTAATTCACCCACTTTTCATTGGTCATTTGAAACTGTCTCAGTAAGCATAATATTTCTTCTCATATCGACTCCACTCTTTATCTGATTTTTAGAAAATCCAAACCCAAATCCACTCTATTGCTTTGTTAATCTTTTGAAGAAAGAATCGTGATTTTCTAAACTAAATACGAATCTATATTAAAAATTTGGAGACTAGCTCTAAAGATGTAGGATATTAAACTTTATGACTAATTTTGTATAAGAACTTTAATCGATAACAAAAACTAGGCGTAGTTATCGATTTTTGAAAATGTTGTCAGGCAGACGGACAGAAGGACGGAAGTGGCTAAATCAACAAGAATACGTACATACACATACATATATTATATACTTTATGGAGTCTTCCACTCCTCCTGTCTGTTATATACATTTTAATAAAACCATTATAACCTGATATCCTGTTTTTATTAGGTTTAGGTTATAAATAATGCCTTTATATTATTTATATTGACTTTATATTGTATCTGAATCCAGATAAAATTGAATTGCATTTCGTATTTCACGCGAATAATTACATATTGAATTTAAGTTCTTTTGTTTAAGACTCCCTACTGTAATACTTTACTATTTTATATTAGCTGGCTAGCGTGATCATATATAGATAAACTCGGAGATGATTTTAAATTATTTTTCACATTTTCAATGTTATTCTTTCAGAGTGTTAAATGATAAGCAACTTATTAAACAGGTTTCCCACTTACAGTTTGTATGCTCAAAGTCGTGATGCGCCGGACTCTTTAGATTGTGCCTGACGTCCCAGTAATTGTACCCATTGAGATGTTCCTCGGGTATGTTAAGGCCAAAGCACTCGGGACTGAGCGAAAAGTCATCGACGGCCACATCCGAAAAGATGCGCATGCCCATGCGTGCCTCGAATTGCAGATAGTATCTGAAAGAAGATCAATCAAATTGAGTTTAATGGGACTTGCCAGAGAATCGAAGTCAGTTTGAACCTACTTGGCCGTAATGTTGGGCAGGACGTACTCGGCGCGCAGCCAGTCGCTGCCCTGGTTCTTGGTGCTCCACCAGAGCGTGGTGGTGATGTTCTCCTTCTCCTTCATTTCGACCACGGAGAGATTGATGCTGCCCGGATTCTTGCCGAACTGGTGTATGTAGAAGCGCACCACGCACGAGTTGCGATAGGGCGAGTCCGAGTTGCCATGCACCGAGGGCGGCGGATTGAAGGTCTTGCTGAGCATGATCGCATTGCTGGCAAAGCCGATAATGGAGCTCTTATCAGAGTTGTTGATGTGCTGGTTCATGTTGACGAGCATGTAGTAGCCGCCGGTGGTGTTCAGCAGATGCTGCTGGGTGTGGTCGCCGTCGGGGCCCGTGTCGTGGGTGGGCGAGGAGCCAGTGTGCCGTGACCAGGTCAATGTGGTCTTGCCCGAGTCCCGCCAGCCGCACCAGTCCTCCTCGAAGTCGCAGCGGCCGCCGTAGGGTATCTTGTCTGCGAGGCGATAGGAGATAAGAGAGCTTGAACTATTGCACCCGCCTGGCGATAATGGTTGAATGGGCTAATGGCCCGTGAACTACTCACCACATGACTGCAGCTCGTCCTCGGCGTCGTCGCAGTCGCGCGTAATGTCGCAGATGCGCGGCAGGGGTATGCAGACGGGCACCTTGTTCATCATGCACTTGACCTGGGAGGTGCTGCACTTCTCCGACTTGGTGCCCTCTGGGAAGCAGTTGACCATGCGCAGATTGTCCAGCGCCACATGCGCCTTCTGGCCCGGCTTCAGCTCGGGCACAACCTCGAACTTGATGCGAAAGTCGCGCGAAATGCGACCCAGCCGGAACAGCTTGTGCGTCCACTGGCGGAAGTTGTCGCCCTGTATCTCGGCGGGCACCCAGCTGCTCTCCTGCGGATGCAGCGGCTCCACAACCACCCGCGACAGTCCATGGCTCATGTCGCTCTGGTGCATGTAGACCTCCAGGAAGCAGCGCTCCAGCGTGGTGCTAAACGAAGGCGAGGTCAGGTTCAGCTGGCGAGTGCTCGGCAGCACCCGGGCGTACAGGAAGTGGCCATTGGCATCGTCTATGCTGTCGGCCACTGGACCCGGCATCAGGCCAGTCAAGTTCTTCTTGGCCAGCTCCGTGCCGCTGATCACCTGGAAGCCATCGGGCAGGTTCTCGGTCCACTCCCAGGCACAGGGCGTCTCGAAGTTGCACTTGACGCCCAGCAAATCCTCGATTTCCGTCGAGGGCGTGGACTCCGTGTGTGGAGCATAGGTGTTCTGCATGTGGGGGAGGAGAGGGATGTTAAATTGGACTCAACTATCAGGAGTTGACGTTGCCCTGCGTAACTCACCGGCTTGGGTGCTGTGTCTCGTATGCGTTCCTTGATCTGCTGTATGGGGTCGATCTGATCCATATCGCCGTCGGGGTCGCCATCCATGTTGCCATCGGTGACACTGCGCACCGGCTCGTCCGCCTGGTTGAAGCTCTTCTTGAGCTTGAGCAGCTCGCTGATGGAGTTCTTACGCGGATACGTGCGCATCGGCTGGCTGTCCATGCCCGCATACAACGGCGGAACTCGTGTGGAATAGGGTCCAGCAGTCATGGCGGCTGCTCCGCTGACTCCGCCGGGGGGCTGGCGCAGTCGCTCCCCATAGCGATCGGCGGAGCCCACGCCGCCCAGGCCATCGATCTTGCCAATGGACGAGGTGGCCGAGTAGGAGGCGTAGCCGGTGCTCTTGCCGCTGATACCGCCGCCGGGTCCGCCCACCGACGGCTTCATCAGCTCCTTGCGCAGCGACTCTATGCCTCGCTGCCCATTGCCGCGCTCGGGGCGTGGCAGCCCGCCGGCGCCCACATGCGACAGATTCTGGCGGCGACGCGTATCGCGCCGGCTGCCGGGCGGAGGACGCGAGCCAAAGGTGCCCGCACTGGCCTCACCCTCGTAGTCGTCATAGACATGGACGGGCTGGGCCAGGCCCGGCAGCGTCGGCAGCGGCAACGGCTGCGGCTGCTCGTGCAGTCGGCCGTTGCGCAGCTGCTTGCCCGAGCCCAGGTAGTTGTTGTTATTGTTGTAGTTGTTGTAGCTGTTGCTCTGGTGCTGCGACATGGGCAGCGAGTTGAAGGTGTGATTCAGCAGCGGACGCTGCGCCCACGCCGACGGCCCGCCCAGCAGCAGCAGCAGCCATAGCAGGCTGACCACCAGTGGGCGTGGCATGCCACTCGCGTTGCGTGTGAGTGTGTGAGTGTGTGTGCGTGTGTGAATGATAGCTGTCAATATATAAATAGGTGTGTGTATGTTTTAGGTGCTACTGTTGTTGTTGTTGTTGTTGTTGCTGACAAAGTCCAGTGGCTGCTCCTTTAAGCTTCGATCTGATGTCTTTTTAGCTCTTGTGGCACTTGGGCAATGAATTTGCTGACCGCTGGGCGGGCACACGAGTCGCGCATTTAAAGTTCTTCAGATGCAGGCAGCACATTGCTCAAATGTTTGTGTTTATATGTGTGTGGGTGTGTGGGGGTGTGGGGGTGTCTGTGTATGTATGTGTGTTTATGTGTGGGTGTGTGTAAAGTTGCTTTGTTAGCTCTGCTGTTGTTGCTTTTGCTTTTGTGGTTTGGCAATCTGCAAAGAGAAAGAGAGCGATAGAAACAGATATAGAGAGGGACCGATATATATATATAGAGAGAGAGTGTGTAATATGCAAATTAATAACGCTTCATGACTTTTGACTTTTAATGCGCGCACAGATACCGTTACAAATGCCCACGTAATGGCATTTCCATACGCCCAATTGGAACATCCTGAAAGCTTCCCCTCCTCAATTGTTGACACTAATTAAAGTCTGTGAAAGCACTACGCTTGATCGATTGCTAAAGAGTTCAATTGGAAATGAAATTTCAGTAATAAATGCCTCAAGATAAAAGAATGAAGAGATGGAGAGGCTAATCCATTGAATTTATACGAAATTTAACACAAGGAAATTCATAGTTACTTTTATTACGATTTCAGAGTGTATCAAGTAAAAGACTTATTTTAATTGGAATTTAGTGCAACAATAATTACTAATAATAAAATACATTAATATAGTAATAAATCTAGTAGTTTTAGGAATTTGTGTGAATTCAAAAAATATATAAAATGTTATCACTCGATAGTTATCTAGCGAGTCCTATGGCATCTTCCGTTAAGTCAATTTATATTTTTAAAGCATTAATAAAGTGAAATCCATTTCTGTGTTCCGAATTTTAAGACGGTTCATAGGTAGTCCTACTTGGGACAGAAAAGAGGACATACATGTAGCACATTGTAAGTAACATTAAATTACTTCCATTCGACAAAATAATCAAAACAATAAACACAATAAACAATTCAAGCTCTATTTTAATAAATAGAGTGCCATCGTTTTAGCCTTGATTTACTAATCTAATTATTAATATAGGCAGTTGTCTGTGCTTAATTCATAAGTTAATCTTAATTTTAGGGTAGTTCTAGTCTTCAATAAATAAGAAAATAATTGATAACTATTTATGTTATTTTTCTGCCATTTAACCTTCTCATCTTCCATTATCACTACATAGTTCTTCATTTTAGTTGTATTATTTGATTTGAGGCTTTTAAAAGAGATATTTGTACTGGTGCAATTTTCATCGGTAAGACTCAAGCTCAATTTACTTTTGCCTTTAAAATGCTTATGGGTTAGAAATTTCCAAGCCCTTGCCCTAGTTCTTAATAATACCTTTAAGAACCTTTCTACAGAATAGTTTACATAATATTTATTTATATTCCAATACTAAATTGTCTATATATATTAAATTTCAGTGCTGCTCTAACTACATCTCTTCTTATGCTCCCTCGCTGAACACAGCAATTCAATTGATGAACTACAAATCGCCTAGAGTATCGCCCACGGCGATAAGCCCACACCCAGCTCTTTCGCTTACCCCTGGATTGTGCATCGAATAACATCAAATAACATCAAATATCCAGAAACTGTCAACTGCCAAATGCACTTTGAGCCCAGCCGCCAGGCATTGAACAATTTTTGCACAATAGAACACGAAAAATGCAATAAAGGCCCTGAAAGGAAGCCATCCCCCCGCACCTTCAGCCGCCCCCTTGACTGTCCTGGCTCATGGTCAGAGTAGAAAATCGATGATTCGTTTTGTTTGACATTTGTCGAGGACCGTTTTCAATTTGTCTCTAACAATTGTGCAAGCTGCCTGAATTGTTAATGGTGCCTAAAAACAACCGAAAATGGGTCAATGATAGAGGCGCCCTAATTGCTCGACAGGTGATTTTGTGGTGCACCTTTATTTAGCTATAAATACCGCTAGTATTTAGTCAATGGGTTTTCAATAAGCCCGTTTATTTGTGGGATTTGTTCTGCAACTAATTGTGTTATATTATATTCGGCACAGTTCCGGGAAATATCAACAATTATTTCAGTTCTTGGAATAATTTGTGGTTCCTAAAATTATTATATATTATGCACCTTTGCGTCTTACAAGAATTGCAGTATGAAAATTATCCCACGAAGAAGATTGAAAATATTGATCTATGTAAATTAAATTAAACTAATAAATTGAGTAAACTTAATTTTGCCGTAGTCGTAATCTTAAGGGGATTACTCTGCTTCATATATTTATAGCTGATGACCTGAATAACTTTTTGTATGCAATATTTTTATTTACTTATTTATTTAATTACTATTAACATTATTGTTATTATTTTTTGTTTTTAAATATTTTATTTTATGAATTCAAAAAGTAAATGATTAAATGATAAACATATGAATAAGAAGATTCTAGTAAATGTTGAATACAGAAGTTTTTCTACACAATTATAATCTAACAGAAATATGTATAAATTTACAATAAACATTATATATATATATATATATATATATTTTATAAAAATATATACTGCATTTTGCAATTGTAAATTTTAAAAATATGCATTCATTTACAATATCAATTTCATATATAAACCATGCGTATTTAAGAAATATATATATTGCGAATTTCTCTGTTTCGTTGAAGCCTAAATTTTCGATATTTATAAAGCTGTGTAAAATGCTTTCATTTATGAAATCATGCCTAAACTCATTTATTAACGAAAATTGTTGCAATTGTTGCAACTAAACGGTAAAGCATAAATTGAATATGAATTTTTGCAGATATATATATCCCAGTCTATATATTATAAATAGATAAAATTATTGAACTGCAAATCAAGCAAATCAATTATAATTTTTCACATACAAATTGAAATCTTGCAATGCCTTATTAGAGGAACAACAGTCGAAGCTACTCGCTATTTCAGGGGCGTCGTATAATATCACTTTTAACATTTTACTTTCAGCTTCTACAGACACACACACACACACACACGTACACTCATTTACAGCAGCTACTCATGCATGTAGAGGACGATTTGCTCTAGGTTTTTGGCTAGGTTTCTTTTTTTAAGGGGTGAGAAAATAGGCAGAAATGCATTTCTTCTATTTCGAATTTAAAACTTTCTTTAGGGTCATTTTCTTGCTGGCTGTGTATAGTATATTGTCTATTGTTGTTGTTCTTGTTTTTGTTGTT